GTTTAAGCTAACAGTTAGCATTAACAACACCAACACACAGCAGTAGATCCTCCAGGCTCGTGTTATTTGTGGAGATAAAACATCAATGTTGCATGTAGGTGTTAGTTGTGTTGCTGTTATCCATCCGAGGGTGAAATGTCCAAATATTGGGAAATAAGACTCAAAATTCTGTCATCTGGCATTCAGCTGTGATGTTGCAGACTTGATATGCTGAGACAGGGGTGTTTCTTAATGTCAAAGCACATGGCCTCGCAAGGCATCACCTTACGAGGCCATGTGCTTTGCTTACCAGGACACTGTCCATCCTTGGTCAAAGAAAACGGTTAAATGGAACAGACTTGCATCACGTGACCGCGCCTTCCGCGGCGGTCACGTAATGTCATGTGACACGGGAGAAAACGTTATATTTTATATGTATTAGTTTCAATATAAATATTTAACGAGCCTTTTACTTTTAAATTGTGTATATATTTGTTAAATTAAATATATTAACGAGTTACTACCCGCTAGTCACCGAAGCTGCAAGTAATAAGCAACTAACCAACCATCGATAACTTCTGTGGATCTAAAAAAAAAACATTTTAAATTAGATGACTTACTTTTAAACTTGAAATTTGCCCCAGAAGCAGCTGCCGGCTTCTGATCCACCAGCCTTTTGAAAATACCACGATGTATTCTGGGTAATTTTTGACCAAGGCTAGGCTATAAGATACCTCCCGTGTATCCTTGCTCAGCTAGCTAAACTGCTAACAAATGGAGAATAGACTCCTCGGTTGAACATGAACATTGGAACATGTCTTGGCGATTCCTGATGACGTATCTCCTAGGCAACTGGGGCGGGGCTAAGACATCAAGGCAAGGTTCCTTGGCATTGAGAAACACCCAGGGGTTTGTGGGCTTTTTTGTGCCCAGAGTTCTGCCCGCAAGGCATTTATTCCTTCTAGAGACTACTGCCAATGTATTGATTAAACGAGTAATCCACACCTTAAACGAATAGAAACAATAGATTGTAAAATTCCTCAACTTTAACTCATTTTTGTAGATTTAAAAGCCTTTTTTGAGAATATTTTAATGTTCTTGTAAATTTATGGCTTTAACCTCAGAATCTCAGCCATAGTTTCACACAAATCCATGATTCAACAGATGTTCTTCTATTAGATTTCAAATTTTCAATCCAGAAAGTCTGCAAATTTACAACAATAGAGAAAATCATAGTTTTGTGTTAATTTTTACCTTTAATTGTGGGAAATTCGATCTGTCTTGCATATTTAAGATCTTCCAACTGGTATGGAATGTTTTGCCATAACATACAACCATTATGGAAGACCGGTGAACCCCCCCCACCCCCCCCCCCCCACCCCCACCCCCAAAATACTTAACGTCTCTCTATAATAACAAGGAGTACACTAAACTAGACCTTCACCCATCTTAGAACCAGTTTATTTGATTTATCTCAACCATTTTCCAAAACTATTCCTGTATTTAGTATTAAAATGGAGAAAGGGTTGTTTTCCATAACTAGTGAACTTGGAAATTCTCTTGATTATTCCATGTAAAGAAGCCAACAGTAGATTAGATGCTCCACATTTTCTCTCTTAGCCATTTTTAATGTTTATTGAAGATTTAACCTAATGATGTCCCATCTGGACAGAACCACCAGTTCCTTTTATTGTTGGACAGTGAGAGACCACTGAGTGTGATGAACCACAACGTTTATACCTAAGAACCCTGCTCAGCCTGCTGCTGTTGGATCTATTTGCTGTGAGCTGACAAACCGCTGAACGGATCTTTCCCCCACGGCTTGGAGGTAAACGGACCTCTCTCCGTGTCGACCGGGAGGTGGGAGCCAGCGCTTGTACTCGGAGCGGGCGACAGTTCACGGCTCCTGGCGTCTACAGAACCATGTGAGATGTTGGATGGGTTGTTGACCTTGTCTGTCTCTAAATAGCGCCTAGCTTGAGGCAGGCTGTGCAAATCGTGTGTGCGTGTGTGCTGTAACACACACTCCACCAGGGAGGAACCTGATGGAGGTGAGGAACAGCCTGAAGGGCAGCAGCTTTGTTCTGAGTGGAGGAAGCTACAGCTCTCTCTTCTGCTCTGGTTTTCTAAAAACAACGTTGTCCTTCTTTTGGATCTAATTTTTTACCAATGTCCCCTGCAGCTCCACACACTGTTTAAATGTTTTTTATGTACAATCTGTCTTTGTGGTGCTCCAGCCTCTTTCCTTCAGCATCCCTCTCCTGCATCAAGCATTGGCTGTCTCTGCGTTTTTACCATCACCTGTCCTGGTTTTGTTCTACCTTCTGTCCAGGTCTCTCCTCTGCTGAGCCCAGCTACAGAGCTTTTATCATCTGTTCTAAACTCTGCTGCAGCGGGATCTGTCTGCATCGCTGTTGATTTTCATTACAGGGTTATAATCAGGAAGTCATTTTAAATCTGATAAATGCAATTACCTTCCTGAATAGGATAGACGGGCAGCAGCGGCGTGGTTCCTTTCACATTTGGACTGAACAGCAGCTGAAACACGAACCAAGCGCTCCCCAGTTAATCAGTTCAGCGTGTTTTGTTGCTGTTTGACCTCCTAGGTAATGGTATTTACATCCCTCATTGCTTCCTGACGCCGTGTGAAATGTGAAGAGAGTATTTAACTGCCCACACACTTTTATTTTTGCTCCATGTTTGAGGCAGCTGCAGCGTGGAACACACCGCAGAGGGAGGCAGCTGGTTATGTCACATGTCATGAAAAGAAAAAGAGGCCACATCTGAGATTGTAGTTCAAATGTGGCCTTAAGGTCTTTCACAGTCTTTCTTTCTTTCTTTCTTTATATATATATATTGTTTTTATTTTTTTGCTTTCCAAAGTGAAAGGATGGTGAGTTTCACTGCTAGGGGACACTTTTCTGTAAAAGATGAACACACCTTATGAACCTTGGTTGTTTTTAGCTGCATGCTGAGCTTTTGAGACACTACATTTGTTGGGAACTAATTAAATTCTACATTTGTAATTTTTGCCTTATTTTCATCTGTCATAGGAACTTGTTTCCTAAAAGCATCCTGGCACTTAAAGGTAAATGTAGTGGTCTTGATAAGAATCAATATGGAAATATGAAATGATAATCATGTAGGAGTTTTATTGAAACAAATAATTTATGTTCTTGCTCTTAAATTTTATTACTGTAATTATCTTTTTATGTCTCAATAAATGTAATATTGAAATAGAAATGTTTATTTGTGCATAAGTTGTGGATTTATTTTGACTTGTAAACACTTTGGGTTTGTGTAAATGTTTGTTTAAGGATTTAAATATGATTGTCCTTAAAGATTAAAGCGTTTTTATAACTTTTTTTTGTTACCTTCAAGATGCAGTCAGAGGTCTGATCTGTAGCCAAAGAGTTTCAGGCCTTAGTGATAAACCAGAAGACAAATCAGACAAATTTACTGTCATTTTCTGTCAATGTGTTATGTATAAAAGGCCAGATCACTTCTCCTGCTTTAACTTTTAGAAGTCCAGCCTTTTGCAGTTGTCTTGAGATCCTAGATTTTCTTGACCTAAAAGCGACTGATGATCTAACGAAGCTGCTCTTTGCTGTTCAGGTTGAAATCTTAGTATAAAATTTACTGGTTAGATTTGCACGGCGAGTCTCTGACCAGTTTTACTCATTAAACATTCACTGTTTTTCACTTTATGGGAACTTTTCTCTTCAACTAGAACTAGTTTAATAAATTCATGTCAAAAAATTCGTCATGTTTGTATATTTAGCCTAAGTATTTCTGCTCTGTTTTTATCACAGGTGTTTGTTCACATTCACAATTCTACAGATTTTTGTCCATTGTGTTGTTATTGATCATATTTATTACAAATAAAGTTAATAAAACAGTAAATGGGTGTTTTTTTAAAGGCTTTTCCTATTGCAGCTGTGGAGACGTGGCTGTCATTAAAAGGTGCTCTTCAATGAAACCATAAATCTAAAAGACCTGCTTTCCTGTCTTGGTAGATTTTTACTGTACTAATCTCTAAAGAGCAGAATGAAGAACATCAAGGACTGAAAGTAGAACATATATCAAAGCGGCGAATAAAGAATCTCCGTGGCCATCGCCAGAAAAGCCTGACTTGGAAAACTTCTTTAGCTGCAGCCAGGGGCACAGATAGGATTTTCAAACTGGGGGGGGACAAAGTTCCAATGCACCCTCCCCCAAACACAAATACACACATGCACATATGTACACATACACAAACTATTGCAAGAGCCTTAACTAGAGTTCAGTCAGTTTATTTAATTTCATCCAATGGTTTATGAAAAAACTAACACTTTTATGTACGTGTTTGAAGCCGTTGTGCAATGGAACGCTGGCAACAAAGATCTGCCTGGTCAACACTATCCAGGTCAGTCATTTGTTATTCCCCCAATCAATTACTAACCAAAACCTCATGCTTTATGCAAAACATTAAATGATTTTCAGCATACCAATCTTTACAGAAAACATAAAAGCCCTAAAAAAGTGCACATAAAATATATTTAAAAAAACAATATTCACTTAAGGGTTGGCCATGGTTTGATTTTGTACGATTCCGATTCCAATTCCTTGTTTCAATTCCGGTTCCTATCAATTCCCGATTCCGATTCTTTGAAGACATGACATGTTTTACATGAGCTATCTAACCACAGGTCCTACTTGATGAAATAATCTTAACTTCGACATGAATTTTAATTCTATGAACAACAACATCACCCTCATTTAGACAAAAACATGTTTTGGAGAAAAAAAGACTTGCAGCACAATCAGTGTGTTTGTTTCTGACCACAACCAAAGTCTGGAAGAAGCCTCTGGGATGAGAGGCTAAATGTCTCCAACATATCCAGAAGCGTCCAGCTGTTTTCAGCTAAAACTCTCAGGATGATCATGTCCAGGATGACTGAGAACTACACCCCCACGCTGCAGCAGCATTCAGTCAGAACAAAGAGTGAAACTTAAACGTAGCTGCTGTCGGTAACAATCTAACAGATTTTAAACATTAAAACTCTCAACAGAAATAGTTCAGAAAGGAAATTAAAATGTTCACACCTTCGTGTGTGATATATTATTATTATTATAAGTAGGGATGGGTACCTTTGACATTTGAATCGATTCGGTACTAATTCCCGGTACCTAGGAATCGATACCGGTGCTAAACGGTACCAACTTTTGATACTTTTGAGTGTTTAATACTTTAATTTTCTTTTATAATTAAATATATATTTTTCTCAAATAACCATATTTGATAAATATCACGATTAATAACATAAAACTGTTTGTATTTTAACATCGTCCTTGTAGTTTTATAAGCTGATAATTAAACTGAAGCAAACATCTTTACTGTGAACTAAATTTACTGTGTATCTTCATTCCTTTTGCCGTCCTTTTTCATTTGATTTTTCCTACTGGGAAGTTAGAATTTCCGAGGAGAAAACGAACGCACCATTAGCTGATAACAATGGTGGCAATGGAAGCTAACTTATCAAGCTAACGTTATCTTAAACAGTTTATTTAGCTGCTGGAGCAGATTAAAACGATGATGCCTCACACAGATTTTTGTCGCTGGTTTCATCTTCACCCAATCACCTGTCGCATTTAGTAAAGTGAAGCCAAACTTTAGAGCGCGTTCATGTGCTTCTAGTCGGAAATTCGGAGTTCCGAGGAGAAAGCGAACGCACCATTAGCGAAACGGAAGCTAACATATCAAGCTAACGTTATCTTAAACATTTTATTTACCTACCGGAGCAGATTAAGATGAGGATGTCTCACTTAGATCGTTGTCGCTGGTTTCATCGTCACCCAGTTACCCATCACATTTAGTGAAGTGAACCCAAGCTTTAGCGTGCGTTCTTTCTACTATGCCGCTCTTGCGCAGCTGTCTAGGCAAGTTCTCGTTATGAAGGACGGGTACCGAAACGAGGCACCGTTTGAAATGACGTGAATCGGTACTCATTCGGTACTATGGAATTCGGTCGGTACCTTAAAAATTTCGAATTCGGTACCCATCGCTAATTATTTATTGTAGCAGAAGCAGGTGTGGTCCACCATAGAGAAGCTTTTCTAGCATGATGACTTTAATTATTCTGCAGGTTATTATTCAGTCTTCTGACGCTCTCTCTCTCACACACACACACACACACACACACACACACACACACACACACACACACACACACACACACACACACACACACACACACACACACACACACACACACACACACAAACACACGAGTGTTAGTGAGCGGCTGCGTCTGACTGCTGATGCTCCATGTGTGTTTTTATTTCTGCAGTGAGACAAACTCACCTCACACCGTCCAGTTTGTTCTTTAAAGTTTCTATTAAATCCTCCATGTTGGCGTCTTTTAACAAGTTTCCTCCACGCTGCAGGAGTTAAAGTTTACATGATGGAGTAAAAGTTCGGCAGACGCGTTTGTTTGAGGGGAGACTCGGTGCTGCACACAGACAGCTGGTGTGATCAGCTCTGAAAAGCGTTAATCACAATTTGCAGATCACTTTTATTTTTCACGGAGATCGCAGCGGATTCCTCTTATGGCATTCTAGGAATCGAAACTAGGAATAGAAAAAAAAACGTTGAACAATTCCGGAAAAAACTAACAGTTGGAACCGGTTCCAATCGACGCTCGATGCCCAACCCTATATCACGTAGAGCAGTGGTTCCCAAACTTTTCAGCCTGACTAACAGATGTTCCCTCGTATTGTTAGGTTATTTAGAAAATGTCATTATATTTGGAAAGTTTTCATTTATATATAAATACATAAAACTCTTTTTAAATTTTATATTTTAACTTTTTTTATGATTATGTGGCACACTTTGACTTCCATAACGCATCGGCATCTGCCTCTTTTTTACACCTATTTTTTACATTGTCACTACGTCTATCACGGTAGCGGTGTTTTACCATCATTTCAACATCCATCATGACCCAGAAAAGGTTAAACAAACGTCGAACCCAACTTTTGGCGCTTGTAAACTCCACACACACCTCTCGTGCAGCACCAGCTGTCTGATGCTGCAGCAGCATCAATCTTCCCGGCTGGATGAGTGAATTTCTTCATCAGAGTCAATATTCTGCTTCATAATCAGAATCAGTCATTACCAGACAAAGTGATCAGTCAACAAAGACCTGACCTGCTGGCAATTATAGGTTTTATCTATTATTTGCGCTCTTCATGCTGCACGCATCTCCTCCTCTCCCCGACTGGGAGCCTCTCGGCGGGAGGCGTTTTTCAATCTCTAAAAACTCCAAAACTTGGCTCAGCCTGAAGGTTCCACATCTCCACTATCTTCTGGTGTAAAGTAGTAACTTCATGAGGGATCATATTTGTAGATGAGACTTGTTAAAGTCAGCAATGAGGCTTTGGCGCTTTTAACGAGTAAGTCCCAACACTGACAACAACGTACTGAAACTAGAACCAACATGCATAAACAGACAGATTGGTCCCGCCTACTTACACTGTTGG